ATGTATATATGTATATACACACACACACACATATACGTATCACAGTTTCTTTATCCACTTGTTGATTAATGGGCATTTCGGTTGGTTCCACATTTTTGTAATTGAGAATTGTACTGCTATAAACATGCATGTGCAAGTATCTTTTTTTGTATAATGACTTCTTTTCCTCAGGGTAGATACCCAGTAGTGGGATTGTTGAATCAAATGGTAGTTCTACTATTAGTTCTTTAAGGAATTTCCACATTATTTTCTCCATAGTGGTTGTACTAGGTTATATTATATTATATATATCATATATATATACACCAGCAGTGTAACAGTGTTTCTTGTTCACCATATCCACGCCAAAATCTATTATTTTTTATTTTTTTATTGTAGTCATTGTTGCAGGAGTAAGGTGGTATCACATTGTAGTTTTGATTTGCATTTCCCTGATCATTAATGATGTTGAGCATTTGTTAGGTTTGTTGACCATTTGTATATATTCTTTTGAGAATTGTCTATTCATGTCCTTAGCCCACATTTTGATGGGACATGATCAAGAGGGTTTTATAGCAGGAATGCAGGGATGGTTTAACATATGCACATCAGTAAATGTGGTACACCACATAAACAGAATTAAAAACAAAAATCACATAATCATCTCAATAGACGTAGAAAAAGCATTAGACAAAATCCAGCATCCCTTTGTGATTAAAACTCTTAACAAAATCAGCATACAAGAGACATATCTCAATGTAATGAAAGCCATCTATGACAAACCCACAGTCAACATAATACTAAATGGGGAAAGGTTGAAAGCGTTCCCTCTGAGAAATGGAACAAGACAAGGATGCCCACTCTCACCATTTCTCTTCAACATAGTACTGGAAGTCCTAGCCAGAGCAATCAGACAAGAGAAAGAAATAAAGCGCATCCAAATCAGTAAAGGGGAAGTCAAACTGTCACTATTTGCTGATTATATGATTGTATACCAACAGAACCTTAAAGACTCCTTTTTAAAAAATTGTATTGGGACATGCCTTCCATTTGTTCACTGACAGATTGTAAAAAATCCATGTCTAAGAGCTCTAAGATGACGCTACAGAGGAAAACACAATGATTTTTCCCGCACTTCACATGCTGACTAACTCAAATCACTGTTTCCTGATGTCCGCCCTGAATTATGTTATTTTCATATGCATGCTTCTTTTCCCTGAGCCAAAGCTCATAGTTTCTTTGCTCCTTTTAAATTTCACTTTGGGTCTTTAATTATATTGTCCCTATTCTGTCTTTATTGCTTCCTTTTAGCACTTCCTTTCTCTACTGTCTTATTAAAATTAAACATCCTCTCTATCTGTAATTCACCTCTTATTTATTTCCCATGTTCAAGGTTTTTACATAGCAATTAATTATCAGGTAATCCTGAAATTAGGATTGTTGATGTCCTTGTAATTCCAAGAGGTTTTGAGGTACCAGGTGAGCCCAGAGACTATGAAATTTACTCCAGTTCTATCTCTTGTTGCTAACCTCCAATAGACACTTGACATACAGTTCCTTGCCTTATTTATCATTTTCTGCACTGATACTCTCATACAAGCATTTCACAGGGGTTTAAAAAGAAAGGTTGGGACAGTAAGGAATGAATGTTGACTTCAGGGAGAACTAAAGAGGTAATTTAGAGAGCACAGAAGCTTAAAAAAACACAAAACTTTTTCAAAGGGGACTGATTTGATAAGAAAAATAATAGAAGGGTGGGTACAGGGAATAATAAATTTAGGAGATTCTTAAATGATTCAACTAATCTAGATGAAATAGAAGAAGATTGAGGAGAGGTTCTGGAGCCTAGAATATTAGGCTCTGGAATCTCGAATTCTCCCTCTCAGCAAAGTCTTTTTATTCCACCCTTCCCTTCCTCTTGTCTCCCAAAAATATGTCACAGAGATAGAAATAAACAAAAAAAAGGTTAAGAATTGTACTTTAAGCATAGTGTCAGAATTTATCTTATGGAAGAGACTGTCTTTTGATTAGCAAAACAAACTGGCATAACTTTTTAACTGAAAAATAAGCTTCAGATTATTTCCTAGTTGGGTGGGGAACAACCTGAAAAACATTAAATAAATAAACAGAATACATTGCTTAATAAGCAACAGGAATAACAATAACTAGCATTTAGTGAGCTCTTACTATGAACCACATATATTTACAGGCCTTACATATGCAACAATTTATTTAATCTTCACCATCCTGTGAGGTAGGTATTTGTAGTAGTCTCATTTTATAGATAGAGAAGATAAACCATAAATTCATTAGTAACTTTCTCAAGGTCACCAGAGAAATGATAGGCAGGGATTTGAAAACTTAGTATTCCTCCATTCTATCCATAGCAAGAAATATAGAAAGATCCTTGACCAAAAGATGGCTGGGAAGAGAAGTGTGGGAACCCTAATAAAAAAATAATGGAGGAGAGCTGACCTGAATCAGAGGAAGACAAATGTGGAAAGATGACCATGACTGGAACTTACCACATGGAGAGAGAGTCAGCTGGTGAAATTCTGTATTCACCAGAAAGATATATATATATATATATTTATTTTGAGATGGAGTCTTTCTCTGTCGCCCATGCTGGAGTGCAATGGTGCAATCTTGGGTCACTGCAACCTCCACCTCCTGGGTTCAAGTGATTCCTCTGCCTCTGCCTCAGCCTCCCAAGTAGCTGGGATTATAGGCATGCACCACCACACCTGGATAAATTTTGTATTTTTAGTAGAGATGGAGTTTCACTATGTTGGTCAGGTCTGGGCAAAATGGCAAGACTGACTCTACAAAAAAAAATAATAATAATAAAGAAAAAAATCAGTTGTGGTGGTGTTTACCCATAGTTCCAACTACTCTGGAGACTGAGACAAGAGGATCGCTTGAGCACAGGAGTTTAAGGCTGCAGTAAGCTGTGATCATGCCACTGTACTCCAGCCTGAGTGACAGACAAAGACCCTATCTCTAAAGAAAAAATAAAATAAATAAATGTATAAAATTTGACTGTGGTAGATGATTTGAACAATGAGTTAGGGTGTGACTAAATCAGGGTATAAAATAACACTTTATTGGTGTTTTGGCTAGATATTAAGAAATCTATTTTTCCTTTCTCCACCACTTCTTTCCCAGAAAGAAAATATATGCAGAGCATGAAAAATTAACCCTTACATATTATGCAAGATTTTAGGTGTAAAACTCCACTATAGAAACTGGTAATTTCACCTAAACCATTTGGTAGACTCCTTTCATGGATATCAGGAAGGATGGAATTTTACTGAGAAAAAGTTTTTAATAAGATAGGATTAAGGTATTTCTCTGCTATCACAAAGCCCGAAGGTCAGGTATAATCACTCTGAAGCAAAGCAAGTCGAAGTCAGAGAACATTTGCTGGCACCTATGTTCCTTGTAGGTGGGAGGGCAACCAGATAATTTATCCTGTTGCATCAAATGAGATGACTGGAGCCGTCTGCTCCAGACCCGGTCGTCTGACACAGCCGACTTGGACCCAGCAGCGTGTCGAAGGACGGAGGGAGGAGGCAAGAAAGAATATGCACAAATCACCAAGCTAGAGAAGCCTCAAGTATCCTCTCTTAAATGCATGCAAAAGGAATCCTGAAAAGAATGAGAGAAAGATAAATAGTCAAGCCTGCTTTTAGACCACACAGGCATGTGCTAACCTGTTAATGTCCTTGAAATCTTTACCCCTAGAAAACAGAGTACAGTCAGTGCCATAGACTTGGACCAGCTTGGTTTGTGACTTACTCTCCCTACTGGTGGGAAGTAGAATCATGACCAGAAACCTTGATCTTGAAGAGATCAGAAAAACAAAAACACAGAACAAAGATCAAGAACAAGGAGGGTAAGAGCAAGAAAGACTCAAGCATCCCCCCCATAGTAGAGGAGAAAGTTACAAAAGAGTAGAGGTAATCCTGATGCCCAGAAAATGAGCAGAAGCTGGCTGGAAACCATTCCTTTCATAGTCTCTGCCCTCTTGGGCAGCCTGGCACTCCTGGGAACCTAAAGCCCAGTCCCATTTCTTCCACCCGGTTGCATGAAATAGCCCTAACATTTGTAATTATTGCCTAAATTTTCTTAAACTAGCAGAAGCAAGTTTCTACTATAATCTCAATTTGTAAATGGATATAAACTCTTGCTTTTTGTGAGGCTATGCCAGTGGGTAGTGTGATAAAAATGAATTGGCAAACCTGCCTTTAAAAATTAACAGTAGAGAGGATGGGCAGATAGTTAAAAACCACCATGTCCAACCACTGAAGGACTATCATTATCCCCAAGCTTCAGATGAAGGAATTGAGAATCCAAGTCATTCAATACCTTGCTCAGTGTGCACAACAAGAAATTCAGGGTTGAGCACCTACCAGTCCCAAAACACAAGCTAAATCCAGGGGAACCAGGAGGCAGTTCCAAAGTGAGCAGCTCCCTTGGCACTGCTCCTATCCAGAGTCTTTGGACCATGGATTCAACATCCTTCCATGTACTCAAATCTCTTTATTTTGGAGATACCTTTAGAGAGCAAAATGACAAGTTTCTCAGAGGCATGGCTTATGAGAAATTTACCTTACCTGGCTTATGAGTAATCAGATGATCCAGTGACTTTTGGGGTGAAATAAGCACTATGCTTAAAATGGAAAAGGTTTCGTGTGTGTAATTAAATGGCCCTATAAGAGTAGCTACAGAAGTTCAATGTGTTTAAATCCACAAGTTCATTAATGTTCTGAAGATAATCTAGGGAAGTCATACATCCGTTAGGTGTGGGGCAAATAGCCCTGGGACACAAAAACCCTGAGATCTAATATTGCCTTGAACCGTTTTCATAGGATGACTAAGGACAAGCCATTCATTCTTTCTAGAACTCAGTTTTCTCATCAGAAAATGAAAAGACCAGACTGAATGAACAGTGGCTCCTTGCAGACATGCTAATTTGTAAAACTTTATACTTACACGCTGTTAAAAATGAGGAATGCATTCAATGTTGGTGCAATCTATTTTCTTTCTCTCCTCTTTCTAGAAGAGCACCAGTATGGACCCAGGAAGGCCTGAAAGGCAGTAAAGGGCACACTAGGACTCTGTACGAAGAGAGAGAGAAGATACAGCGTCTTACTATGTGTGATTCTCTTTCTTCCTTCCTATGTGGATAGCTGCAGTGGTAAATGAGTCCATTACGTCCTGCTATTGATTAATGTGTCCTTGTCCTTGGAATGTCCTTTGCAACCAAAATAAGTTTGTGGGGCAAGAAAACAGAATGAACAGCTCAGGGTGTCTCTACATTATCAGAGAATTTGGGGAGTGTTGTATGTGCCCCATGAAGTTACAATTGAGATGGAAAAATTGGGAAGATGAAATTACTGGAGAGGACGAGGACGGAAAGGAATAAAGAGTGTGCGGTTGTTTTGCTTGTCTCCCGCCTTATACCGACAGGACCCAGCGCGAGGAGACAGGGAACAAAGAGTTATTTACAAGGTCCTGGAAATTTAGCTTATCTGGAAGCCTGGGTTTAACTGTATTGTCTGCATTAAGCCTGCTGAGGATACACACTCTTGGTTTCAGAATAGGCCCAAGAATAACTATATTCAAGCATTTCAATTCTTTCCATTATGAATACAACACCCTAGGGCAGGTTTCTAAGGGCCCTGACAAGTTGAATTACTGTCTTTTCCTACTTGCCTGCTTGCGACTGAGCTTACAAGGAAATGACTTTAAACAATGTCACACCTCTTTACCCACAGACACAGTTTACAGGACCACATTCGTATTCCAATGACAATGAAAGGAAGAAGCAAAGAACTCCGTTCCCGCAACCTTGGCAAAGTCATTTCCCAGTTCCTGCACTCACTTTCCTTATCGTGGCAAAATGAAGGGCTGGATTAGAAGAGAGAATCTTTACGAATCTTTCCAATTTTTAACTCCATTCAATTCAACAAACATTTGCCGAGTGGATACTATGTTGCAGTCACTGTGCTACACAGCTCCCAGCTGTATAATTTTTGTTTTATTCCATCGAAAACTAGAGTCAGGTAATTTTCATGCAATTTTTAGCACGAAATCACCGGACTGGGAGCCACAAGACCTAGGTTCTGCTTACAGCAACATCATTAAATATTTGTGTGATCTTTACAGTTACATTAGACATCTGGGTTTTAGTTTCATCATCTGTAAAAGGAGAAGGAAACATGAGGGTTATGTTGATAGTTCACAGGCAGTCTGAAGTATTTTGTCATCCACCAGTTTTTTGGTTTTTTTTTTTTGTGGGTGTTTTGCTCTCTTTGCCCAGGCTGGAGTGCAACGGCATGATATCGGCTCACCGCAACCTCCACCTCCTGGGTTCAAGCAATTCTCCTGCCTCAGCCTCCTGAGTAGCTGGGATTACCGGCATGTGCCACCACGCCCAGCTAATTTTGTATTTTCAGTAAAGACGGGATTTCTCCACATTGGTCACACTGGTCTCGAACTCCCAACCTCAGGTGATCCAACTGCCTTGGCCTCCCAAAGTGCTGGGATTACAGGCGTGAGCCACCACACCCGCCCTCATCCACCAGTCTTATAACTACCATGCACTGAAGGCATATTCTGTGCTAGGCTGTCAGATAAGAACTGAGGATTCAGAGAAAAGTAAATAACCTGGATAGTTCTTTCAACAAATTAGAAGGAGTACTTAGATTTTTTCTCTTTTGATTTTGCCTTATTAGGAAAATCTTCCCTGAGGCATAATCAGAATTTTTTCTCCTCCCTCTTTTTCTTGGAATCTTGAGCATTGCCTTAGTAGGGAGTTATTGTACAGCATAGATCTGGTTAACTTACATTCCTGTCTTCCCTTTCAGTCTGGGAGTCCTTGAGGACAGATCTTGGCCACTAGGTTCTCTGTATTTACAATTCTTATACAGGTTCTGCAACCTAGCAGGTGCTTAATGTAAGTGCTTCGTAGTGATTCCCTACCACTTATTACTCTATTCCAGGTGTCAGTTTGTTCCCAACATACCAGACAGAGACAGCAATTTTCACCAGAGAAGATCTCGATGTGTTTTGTGCTAGATCTGACTTTAATTAAGTGTAAGTTGATTAGTTAACTTTACATTTGTTCATTCACTTGGAATATGACAAAGCAAAGCCTCATTCTCCTTTCCTTCCCATTGTAGGTAGACCATGCTCCCATCAGTGCTGGAATTGGCCCATGTAACTTGCTTTAGCTAATGAAATGTTACCAAACACAACATGATCAAAGGCTTGAGAGATGATTTCCCTCCTGTGCTTCCGCAATTGCCATGGAAAGAACATGGTCTGGTGGTCCCTGATCCCTAAAGAATGAAAGATACATGGAAAAGGCTTGGCATAAATGTGCAGCTTGGAGTCAAGCCCAACCTAGATCAGACAACATTTAGCCAACCTTCAGATTCATGAACAATAATAAATAATTTTTGTTTTAATTCACTGCATTTTGAGATAATTTATTATTCAGCACTTTGATAACGAAAGATGACTGATGTAAGTAGAAAACCATAGCTGAATCACTCCTTTAGACATCTTGAGGCTTCTCTCTCCATTACCTCGCCAAATTCTAGAGAATATATTTGCTCAATAGAGATTGAGAAAACAAAAAATGTAGGATGTTGGGTACAGAGATTAAGGGCACACTCATTGCCTTCAAGGAACTCACAGTCCTGTTGGAGAGGCAGATAAGTAAACTGACAAATACAGTAAGATGTTACATGTGCTTTGATAGGCTGAGGTCACACATAGATGGGCAGTTATGAGGGATACCTGAACAAATCTAGCAGGTAAGTGAACTCACTGAAAAACTTTTAAGAAATGATAATGTTAAGCTGAGTTTTGACAGATCAGTAAGAAATAATCAAATGTAGAGACAGTAAAGGTGATAAAGCAGAACAAGTAATATGTGCAATCTCTTGAGTAAAAGAAAGCATGGCATAATGAAATATAGAAACTATCTCAGACTTTGAAACCAGAAGGGTAGTGGGTTTACATCTTGACTCCACCACTTACCAACTATACTAATTTGCATAATACTTAGCTTCACTAAGACTCAGTTTTCTTAACTATAAAATGGGAATAATTTTACACTTCTTGCAAAAGTAGCTGTGAATGTTAGATATAACACAAGCAGAAGAAAACGTACAGAGGTAGCTAGTGATGAAGAGGAGGGCAGCAAGAGAGTGAAGAAAAAGAGGAAGGGAATAGAGAGGAAGAAGAGGGAAATAATGCAGTTAAACTTTTCTAGTGCATCAAAGCAAGGAGGTAAATCTCTTGTACACCCTTTAAAATGGCTTTAGAAAGAAATGAAACAAAATTTTTCTAGCAGGGATGAATAACCAGCAAGCTTTATTTCTGGCAGTGTGGCTCCTACAGAAGCAAACATCTCTAGCTTTCCACAGTGCTTGGAGTTGCACCATGGCTGCTCAGTCAGCTCCTTAATCACCTCTACCATGCTTTGTGAGGGTGCCCCAAGTCTGCTTTGATTGGGATCTTCAAAATTTGGAGCACTGTCATGTGAGGAGGAGATTTGGGGTATCAGAATTTAAATTGTCACTACTCACCGGTGCTACAATGCCGCAGCTTCCCTCCATCTCCGAACACAGCTCTTGTCACTCTGCCCCTTACTCACTAGCTTGCACACGCATGGACCATCCTTTGACTTCTCATAGACACTGAGCTTTGCTCTTCCTCAAGGTCTTCGCCTTTGCGGTTTACTCTGCTTAGAATTTTTCTCCAGAGTTTGCATGTTTGTTTTCCACAGCTGACTCCTAGTCAAAACTCAAGTTCTAATTCCAACAACTCCCCCTCAAAGAAATTTTTTTTTCCCTGACAACCCACTTGTCATTACGCATTTCAAAGAGAATTTATATGAAATCATGCATTTCAAATGTACACCTTTACTATCTCTTTCCTATTCATACTCAATCTGACTTCATGAATGAGATTTTCTAAGTCCTGAAGCCTAGAAAAATGACTAGAAAACCATAGGTGTCCAATAATGATTCTGTACACACACATACAGAGAACTAATTGGTACAATGTCTGAGGACACAGGGTCAGCTCAATAAGAGGCTAGTTTATCTAACCCAAATCTTCCTCAAAATAGAATGGGGGATATTCATGAAACTCTGAAGCAGAGTATAAAAGGCAAGAGCACAATCTGGATTGGGGTGAGAGACGAGGCAGGAGATGTCCCAGAGGGTAATTCACATAAATTCTTAACTGTCACATTACTATGTTACATTTTATTGTTTAGATAACATAGAGTCTTTGAATAGTGTATTAATCAGGACCTTTGTTTGAGAAACAAAATCAATCTAGCTATCTCAAGCAGGAAAATAAATACTTATTATACTACAGCATTCACAGAGCCTCTGAGAGGATCAGATGTCTTGGGATTGGTGTTACACAGCCATTAATAAAGCAGCTAGGACATGACCCTCTGCACACACCATGGGGGTTGTTTAGCAGAAACGTTACTGCCACCACGGCCATCCTGGGCAACTGACTCTACAACTGGGTATAAGAAATGTCAGCAGAGCTGTCTCAGAGTGGGTGATCGGGTTGCTCACTTCAGCTTTCTGGTGTCACAGGTGTACATCTCCTTTGCAGGATCTTGGACCTACATGAAACTTTAGCTGCAAGACTGTCTAGGTATTGTAGCTCTTCTCTTTCAAACCTCTCCAGTGCAGAAACATATGTCAGGAAACCACGAGTGGGGTCAAAATGAACCAGCCCACTCTCTTCCACCAGTCTTATCCTCACAGAACATTAGTCCTGGAGGAGATTCCAGGGAGTTTTGCACTGTGTAGAAGGTGGGAATAGATACTTTCTAAGGTATCTTCCAACACTGGGATTCTTTGACTCTTTGGGGGTCAGTTTCTTGAAAAGAATATAAGTTAAGGGAATGGTATCATTTTTTATTAAATAACTGTCATGTTTCACAACACTGAGCCAAAAGTCTTGCCTATGTTGATTTATAAAATCCTCTCAGAAATTCCATCATGTAAGAGATGAAAATTCCATCAGATATTAGTCTGTTCTCACTCTGTGAATAAAGACTTGTCCAAGACTCGGT